CAGGATACTGGGCTAGATGGACCTTTGGTCTGACCTGGTACGGCCTTTCTTATGTACAGAATGTCACAGTCCCCATGCCCCCTCCACAACTTCCCCCCGCCACAAGCCTCACACCCCCACCATCTACACCTACCCCCACTAAGCCACACACACACTCCTCTCACACACACATATACACAACCACAACTCCCCATAGACAGACTCCCCCACACGCCTGCCACACCCCCTTCACAATGCCCTCATTTACAGGCATACAAATACCCCTCACAACCTCTCCCATGTACACAGAAACACTCACCCCTCACAGACCCCCCCCACCCAATTCCATCCCACACGTGTATAGGCACACACAATCCCCCCCCCTCCCCATACACACCCTTCAGTTCCCCAGCCATGTGCAGCTGCATGGATAGCCCCCACAGCCTTGTCACTCTCTTCTGCTCTCTAGACTCACAGGCTCCCTCTGGCAATATCCCAGATGAGTACTGAGTTGGAGAGCCCATCCCTGGAGCTGTTCTCCACCCCCACCCCCCAGCTCGTGCTCTCCCGTGATCCCAATTGCATGAAAGGAATGCCCCAGGGGTGAGGGGAATTTGCCCCTCTGCTTAACCTCATGCTGCACAAGGTGTCAAGACTCCCCTGGCCTTCCCTCCTCCTGTCCTAATGAGCTTACACAGCAGAGGATTACAAGAGCTTTACACTCTCCTTCCAGACTCACACTGGCATTGGGCAGAGCACCAGGACAGGAGACAGTGACAGGCAAGGTGAGATGGAGCAGAGTAAAAATGCAGGGCTGAGACAGCAGGGAAGCTGTAGGTTGGGACCAAGAGGCACTGCAGAGCTACAGGGGACCTCAGAGCTGGGATAGGAGGAGAACTGTGGGTTGGTAGTGAGGGACATTGGTAGAGTTGGGGTCAGACTGTGCAGCCCAGGGTGAGGAGAGTATGGGGACTACAAGTCACGAGCAAGGGGCACTGGCAGACCTTAAGGGAACCCCAGGCTGTGTTAGCAGGGGGCTGCAGGTCAGGAGTGGGGTATTGACTGAGCTGTGATCAGGATACGGAGCCCTCGGCTGAGAGAGCAGCAAATCTCTAGGTGTGGAGTGAGGGACCTTAGCAGAGTTAGGGGAGCCCTGGGCCGGAATAGCATGGAGTCTGTGGGTTGGGAGCGAGGGGCACTGGTAGAGCAGTGGGGCATGAAGAGTCCAGGGCTGGGAGAGCAGTGGCCTTCTGTGTCTGGACTGAGAGGTTTCAGCAGAACTGGGGTGGAGGGAGCCCAGTGATGTCTGGAGGAAGCTTGCACAGAAGCTGGCTGTTGAGTGTGATTCATGTCAGTGCTGTTCCTCGTGCCACATCCCTGCCATTATACCCCCACGCCCTCACAGGGGCATGACTGGGCTGTGGATCGTCAGGGGGCTTGCACTACTTTCTGGCAGATGGTAGCAGATTAGTTGGGAAGGAAATCCTCCTCCACAGCTGCCAAGACAGCTCTTTCCAGGGACAGAGCAGTCCGTAGGCTGGGAGGGGGTTGTGAGTGAGGGGGAGAAGTACCCACCAGCTGGGGTGGGGGGCCAGAAGGAGAGCCTTATGCAGGATTAGTGCTGCTCCTCGTGTCTGGGGCAGGTGCCTCACCTGGGGACAGAGCAGACAGCGCAGATGTGGGGCTGGAGTGGAGGTCCAACCCCAGAACTGAGCTGATCCCCCATCCCACCCCCAGGAGCACAGCGGAGGGAGAAAGCCACCTTGGTATCCCATAGATCAATGGATACGTGAATGATTTGCCCCAGGCTAATGAGGCAGCTGCAGAGCCAAGCCCTGGTGGTCTTTCCCCACAAGTGTCCAAGCTGCAGCTCTGCCCCCTCCAGGCTGGGTTCACCCACTGTGGGACATGACTGGGACTGGACCCCTGAGGGCCACCTGTAACTGCCTCTCTCCCTGCCTTCCAGACTGTGCTTCGCCTGCTGCTATGTCACTACTCCTGCTGGATGAGACAGCCGGAGACCTGCCTGTCAGAGACAGCAGCCCGAAGCCCTCAGTGATCACAGCTATTCAAGGTAAGGGCCACATAACAACAACAATGCAGGGATCCCAAGGAATGGGGGGGGGGGCGGCACAGGGACCCCCAGATGCCTTCTTTGACCTCCAAGGCCTCCTCCCTCACCCATCTAACCCCCCAATCCATTCTACACCTCACCCATTCAACCATCCCTGATCCCCCTTCCTCTTCTCCTATTCCCCCTCATCTACCCCCATCCTCCTCACTTTCACTGCTGTCCCTGGGCTCATCCCAGCACCCCCGCTGCCCATGACAGAGTGATGCTCTAACTGCTTTCCTGGTGACTTCCTAGATGTGTCAGCCATTGCTCGTCCCACAAAGGCCCGTGGGGTGAAGACCCGGATGAGAGGTGAGCAAAGGGGCCCACCCCACACAAACAGTGAAGGGATTCAGGGTTGACACAGGCTGAGGTAGATAGCATGGCACACTAGAGAAGATGAGCCTCTACCCCCACCAGCACCCTATGTCACCACCCCATTCAGACGGGGCAATGGGGCACAGACAGGGTACTTTCCCCAAGCACAGCTCTGTGCAGAAGACAGGTATCCCCCAGTTCAGAGAGGCAGTCTCTCTCAGGGATACAGTCCATTTCCCTGAAGTCTGAATTCTTACTGGGGAAGTGCCTTTTAATGTGCCCACCTTCCTACAACAAGGACATATGGACCCACCCCCATCCTAGCTCCTGCCAGCTTCTGCAGCAGGCAAAACACCAGCCAGAACGTCACCAGTTGGGGGTAGGGCTAGCGCTGCCTCCTTGTCTTGAGGACACAAGGCCCGCTCAGACAGACAAATACCGAGCTGGGGATCCACACCACAAAATGGACACAAACACTCAGTTTCACATCCCCTTTTGTACAACCTCCATCACAGCCCATAACAGATCCCGCTTCAGTTCCTCTCCTACCCCCACTGCTCCCTGAATGACAATCTTTAGTCTAGAGTCAAAGCTGCCCTTCCCCCAGCTGTCAGGTCTAACATTGTGCTGTCTGCTAGCTTCCTAATTCTTCCTCCTGTGACTGCAGCCATGTGGGCCCCACACTTCCAGTGTGTAATGGCCAGACTCTCAGCACAGGCCCTCTTTCTCCCCAAGGAGCCCAGTGCTTAGTTCTTTCTTTAAAACTGCAACCTCAGCCTCCATACCCTCCAGCTGCTCGTCCTTTTCCTCCAATGGGCTGGCTCTGCAGGAAGATTTAGCTATAGCTCTTCCTCCCACAGCAGCCACTGCTGCTTCCCATTCTCTTCCTTTACCCCTCGGCAGGCCAGGTCTTGCTTGCTCTCCCTGACTTGTGTCCAAGCCCTGTCCCTTGAGGCGCTCCTGAAAGCATGTCACTGTCGGACTCCGTAGATGGTTAAGTTCTGTCAGCCATGGGAACCACCTTCAGATCTTTCCACTCATGAACTGGGGTGGGGATTTTGGGCTGGGTTGCCTTCTTTTCCTCACAGAGACCCAGCTGGTCCTGTGCCCCTCTGCATTGATTCCAACCTCACAACTGTTTGTTTCTGAGCTCACAGCTATGCTCAGACCCCTAGACCCCACTCCCCTCCCAGAACTCTGGAGAAAGCCCAGCAGTCCTTGGTCCTAGCCACTAGCCCTAGTCCCTGTAGAGTAGAATCTGTGCAAGCCCCTTGCCCCTCACTCCCTGATGTTGGGCTTTCAGAGCCAGTGGCATGGACACGGCAGCATGTGAGCCAGATGAACCGGGCAGAGCTGGAGGATGGGTTCCTACGTCTACATGACGAGAACCTGGTGCTCAAGGAGTTTGCCTGCAAGCAGGAGGACAGGATCAAGAGGTACCAGCAGGGCCCCATGAAACCCATCACCCTCACCATTAGGATCCTAGGCTCCCAGAGACATGGTGGGGCAGAGGAGGGTATGCAGGGCTTGCAGAGGGAGCATGTGTAGGTGTCTGTGGTGATGCAGGAAGGGGGCCTGGGGTTAGAAGATTCACAGGGAGTGAGTGGGGCTGTGCTCCCCACTCCCCGGGGGGGATGTGTGTGAGACTCCCCCACAAGCAGGCACAGGCTGAGGGACGCACGGGGGGTGGGTAAGATAGGGGCTGTGGCAGCGTGTGTGCGGGGATGGATTAGACGGAGGTTCATTACCTGTGCTTCCTCCCTAGGTTGGGCACTAAGCTGCTGAGACGTACTCATGAGCGGGCACAAGTTGAGGGCCAGCTGGGTGCCAGGGCCAGGTGGTCAGGCCAGGACCTGGAGGAGTCCTTGGAGGAACTGCAGGAGCGGGTGTGGAACCTGGAGCGGCGCAATGAGGGGCTGCGGAGCCGTCTGCTATCCTACAAGCAGCAGCTGCAGCTCCACGGGTGCAGGCGCCACTGGCCCTACGGCTACGTCCAACCCCGCGTGGACACCGGACTCCGGCAGGTTCACACCGCAGGCGGGAGGGTGACTGAGAGACATCACAGAGGTGAGGGGGATGGATCAGGACAGGGAGTAGGGGAAAGCACCATTGCTAGGGGTTGAAGGGCCTGGATCCTGGGGCAGTGCCTCCCCAAGAAAAGGGGTGGGAGCCCAGGGTCTGTGAGATCCCCCCCTGAGAGCCAGTCTGGGGCAGCAGAAGCTCTGGTGAAGAGCCCAGGGGATGACCCATCCTGGCCTCTGGGCAGGTCCTTTCCCAGCTCTGCTTCTGTGTATTGGAATCATCTCTCAAGTGAAGGGAGTCTGCTGGCCTCAGCCCAGTCCCCTAGGAATCCTTTGCCCCTACAGGTTTAGCATCAGGAAGACACAAGGCCTCATCCCACCTTTTTCTCCTGTGCAGGGATGCGGGTGCGCGGTCCAGAGGCCAGACCTACCCACACAGCTCCCCCAAGATACAGAGACCACATCACAGAGGGAGTACGAGTCGATATGGAGAGACTATGTGTCCGTCCCCCACCCAGCACCATGGAAGGGGTAGCAGCCCCTGAATCCCAACTGTGAGTGCCTCCACCACTCCACTATCGTCCACAGCTCCACGTCCTCTCCCTCAGATACCTTCCCTCCCTGGGTTCTGAACCGCCGATGGGCATGGGTGTTAGCCCCATTCTGATTCTGGCCTTGTTTTTAAAAAGTTCATAACTGTTCATGTGTTCCTTTGGCATTTCAGCCGCCACCTCTGCTAAGGGTCCACTGAGCTGCGGCCTCAGCTCTACCATGTACTGGTGAACACAGATCCAAACCCTTGGATCTTAAAACAATGAAAAATTAATCAGGTTCTTAAAAGAAGAATTTTATTAAAAGAAAAGGTAAAATTTATCTCTGTAAAATCAGGATGGAAAATAACTTTACAGGGTAATCAAATTTAAAGAGCCCAGAGGAACCCCCTCTAGCCTTAGGTTCAAAGTTACAGCAAACAGACGTAAACCCTCTAGCAAAAGGAACATTTACAAGTTGAGAAAACAAAGATAAAACTAACACCTCTTGCCTAGTTGTTACTTACAAGTTTGAAATATGAGATACTTGTGTAGAAAGATTTGGAGAACCTGGATTGATGTCCGGTCCCTCTTAGTCCCAAGAGCGAACACGCCCAAAAACAAAGAGCACACAAACAAAAGCCTTCCCTCCAAGATTTTAAAGTATCTTGTCCCCTTATTGGTCCTTTGGGTCAGGTGTCAGCCAGGTTACCTGACCTTCTTAACCCTTTACAGGCAAAAAGATTTTGGTGCCTCTGGCCAGGAGGGATTTTATAGTATTGTATACAGGAGGGTTGTTACCCCTCCCTTTCTAGTTATGACAGGGTGCCACACCCCCACCATTACAGACTGCTCTGACACTTTCTTACTTGAGCACACAAGCATGTTCTTACAATACAGTTCCTCAATCCCTCCACCACTAGATCCAGACCTCTGCACTATTGTCCAGCTTTCTGGCCCCTCATCCCAGGGGTGCATTGCAGGTGGGAGGAGAATTGTGGGGTGCTCAGAGAGTTCCCTCTTGCTAGGGTCTCCCAGCTTAGCAACTTCTACTCCAGAATCCAGCAGGCCTTTCCTGTGCTCTTTTCAAACCACTTGCCCATTGGCTAGTGAGCTCATTACCTTCCCAACCCCGCTGGCCCAGTAATCAGGCACAGCTCTGACCAGTTAGGCCTTGAGGGGGGGACCTAATTGGTGCTAATAGTGACCAGAGTGGTGCTGCAAGTGCCCTCTCCGTGCTCTGTCAAACTTCCTAATCCTGCAGTCTGCTTGCCAAACTTGCCTTCCAGCCCCCTGCTCCCTTTGTAATCAACGTGGCATCACCCTAGCACCTGTGTCCTCTGATCCTGCCCCACACTTCCTTAGGGGTCAGTGCGTCAGCCCAGGTCCCTGCTCCCCACAGATCCCACAGCCTGGTGTTGGCAGAGCTGGAGCCTGAGTCACAATGCCTGGCGTGGGGGAGAGAGATGGATCTCGATGGGGCCCCGTCCCAGCAGTACCACCAGCAGGCCCTGGAGCATCGGTATGGCACCCCTGCGGGTGCCCCCTGGGCGAGGGGGTGGCTCTGCTGGGCCTGGGGGAGAGTGGGGGTCTAGGCCTAGATAGCCCTGGCGGGAAGAGGAAGTGACTCCGATTATCTTTGGGGCTGGACAGGGGAGAGTAAGGAAGGGGGGGCTGTGCCAGGCCCAGATGGTCGGGGGAGAGGTTGTGCCAGGCCCACGTTGGGGGCGTAGGACAGATGGACTGTGGGTCCCCTGCAGGGATTGCTGCTCTAGCTCAAGCCACCCACTGCTCCCCTTGCAGAGCCGCCATCCGGGGGAACGTGGAGCTGATCCGGCTGCAGCGGCTCCTGGGAGAGCGGAGCTGCGAGCTGGCCGTGACCAGAGGCCGATTCACTGACCTGCAGGAGGTGAATTAGTCCCAGTCCTGTACCACCCTGGGGGGGGGAAGGGGAGGAGAGAAAGACCCCCCCAGCTGTCAGTTCTCCTGCCTGTGCCACCCCAGGGGAGAGGAGAAGAGACACTCCCAACACCTAGGCCCCTGCCTGTACCACCTGGGGAGAGATATCTGAGGACCCAATGTGACCCCCACCAACCCACCCGCCTGTGGAGATGAGTAGGGGCTTAGAGGGGAAGTTCTCCCTTCAGCCAACCCCATGGGGAGCTCCCGCCTTCACCCCCTCATGTCTGCGTCTGTTCCTCCAAGTGGGATCAGTGAACCTGCTTCCCGGGGTTGGGAGTGCAGGGGCGGGGGGGTGGGAACAGCTCTGAGGGCCACTGGGAGAGGCCAGGCCCAAAGCCCTCCCAAGTCAGCGCTCAGCAAATAATAGGCTCCACATAGCAGCACTGATGGCAGTTCTGTGATTTCTCTTCCCAGGCGTATGAGAGCCAGCTCCAGCAGGTAAATACTGATGTATGATGGGACCCCTCCTGCCCCAGAAGGGGAGAGTCTCTGTGCTGATGTGACAAGAGCTCCCCCCAATACCCTACTGGGACCCACTCCCCAGCAGGCGGGAGCTCCCCTGCCCACACAACCCTGATGGGACCTGCCCCCCAGATCCCAGGAAGGGCACGCCCCTTTACACTGATGGGACAAGAGCTTCCCTCCCCCTGCTGGGACCCGTCCCGAGGGCATTGCACTCCAGATGGGGGGGCTGGGGCAAAGAGAGTCTCTCTGTATCCAGCCTCCACCCCCTTGTCCCTGGGTTCTCACACTCGGTTCCAGGTCCCTCCATCCTGGCGGCCCTGCAGCAGGGAGGGGTCGGCGTCCCTCTCTCCTGCCTGTGCTGGTCTTTCTTCCTTCCCCTCCCTCACCAGAACCAGGAGATGTTGCGAACCAGCAGTGAGGCCCTCCTGGCCCAGGTGGAGGAGCTCACTGTGCAGCTGAAGGCGGAGACGCAGAAGGTGTTGGCGTTGGAGAGCAAAGTGGAGAGCATCTCATTCCTGCAGGGGGCGCTGGAGGAGGTAGGGAGCCCCAAGTCCTGGAGACCCCTTTTTCCCTACTCTGAGGCCAGCTTCCCTGAAGTCAGTAGGGGGAGTCCCTTTCTAACCCTAGAGAAAGAGCCTGACAGGCTCACCCCCCATTGGCTGCGGGAGCCAGGTTTGGGAGCTGATCTCTGTCTCTCTCAGTTTCAGGAGAGAATCAGGTCCCTGGAGAAGGAGCGAGACCTGTTGAAAGAGGATTATGATAAATTGCTGGAGAGGTGAGACTGAATGTGGCCGAGCCCGGCACCATGCAGTGGGGCTATGCCATGGTGCCCAATGTCAAGTGAGCAGTCTCAGCCCCCGTTGATCCCTAGAGATGCCACAGCCTGGGGTCCAGTCACACCAGATCTGTCTGATGCCTGCTCAGCCCCCTCTCTGGGCTCCATTCAGGGTCGGACTGCTGGGGCTGGGAGCTCTGGCCTGTAGGAGATAGGCAAAGGTCTGGAGCAGCCCCAGAGTCTGCCAGAGACAGGAGACTGATCCCAAAGGGCTGACCTTGGAGGATGGGGATTTTGGGGGAGAGCCTTAGGAAGCCCTCTCCAAGTCTGTGGTACAATGTGAGTGTGGCAGACCCATAGGGACACCCCCTCACCCTCAATCTGCCATGCCTGGGTGGGGCCTGGCAAAGAATTGCCCCAGCCATGCAGAAGCAGCTCCCAGGGCCCTGAGGGCTCAGGGCACCATGTGTGCTGGAGCCCCTCATGGAGGGTTGGGGTTTGTGGCCCTTGGGGTAACACTGTAGCATTGCCCCTCTTGCTGCAGCAGTCTGGCCTGTGAGCAGCGGCATGGGAACATCTCACGGCTGGAGGAGCAGCTGAGCTTGGAGCTGGCAGAGAAGAGAGGGCTGATGGAGGAGCTGGCGCAGGAGAGAGGTGAGGGGGCTGGCAGGACAGTGCGGGGAGGGGGGGAAGGAATCTCAGTATCAGCACAGGGACACGGGACTGAAATGTCAGCTTCATCCCAATGGGGAGTTCTTGCATCACCATTGACTAATCCCTCTCACTGGGGTGGGGGCATCACACGTGCACTGCAGTCGGGGGGGAGGGGTGCATGTGGTCTGGCCACGTGACACCTGAGGGAGGGGGTGGATCCTTGGTGTGCAACACGTGTGGTGGGGGGCAGAATGTGTCCCGGTCACACGGGGCCAGGGCCTGCTCTGTATCACAACCAGTTTGGTGACCAGACCTGACTCCTGTCTTGTCCCCAGCTCGGAGTGAGGAGCTGAAGCAGGAAGTGGAGAGGGGGAACCAAACTCCAGAGCAGAAGCCTGATCCGACCCTGTCCCAGGTGGGTACGAGCCAGGGAGGAGCCAGGGTTGGCCAATCTCAGGCCCCTTCATGGGGTGTAGTAGGTGCCCCATCCTCTAGCAGCATTTGGCAGGTAAAGGGCATAGAGCTGGGGCCTGTGCAGGGGGCGTTGCGGGTGGGGTGGGGCTGGTCCCTGTGTAGAGGAGTCAGGGGGACTGGGCTGGTCTCACCCGTCATGGCAAGTGCAGGGAAGCCATCTGTCATGGCAAGCACAAGGCCATATGTAGGGGAGTCAGCAGGTCTGGAGTGGTCTTTCCTCTCATGGCGACTGCTGTGTGCTATGCAAAGCTTTTGATACGGTCTCCCATAGTATTCTTGCCGGCAAGTTAAAGAAGTATGGGCTGGGTGAATGGACTATAAGGTGGATAGAAAGCTGGCTAGGTCGTCGGGCTCAACGGTCAATGGCTGGTAGTGGTCAATGGCTCCATGTCTAGTTGGCAGCCGGTATCAAGCGGAGTGCCCCAAGGGTAGGTCCTGGGGCCGGTTTTGTTCAATATCTTCATTAATGATCTGGAGGATGGGATGGACTGCACTCTCAGCAAGTTTGCAGATGACACTAAACTGGGAGGAGTGGTAGATACGCTGGAGGGTAGGGATCGGATACAGAGGGACCTAGACAAATTAGAGGATTGGGCCAAAAGAAACCTGATGAGGTTCAACAAGGACAAGTGCAGAGTCCTGCACTTAGGACAGAAGAATCCCATTCACTGTTACAGACTAGGGACCGAATGGCTAGGTAGCAGTTCTGCAGAAAAGGACCTAGGGGTCACAGTGGACGAGAAGCTGGATATAAGTCAACAGTGTGCCCTTGTTGCCAAGAAGGCTAACGGCATTTTGGGCTGTATAAGTAGGGGCATTGCCAGCAGATCGAGGGACATGATCATTCCACTCTATTCAACATTGGTGAGGCCTCTTCTGGAGTACTGTGTCCAGTTTTGGGCCCCACACACAAGAAGGATGTGGAAAAATTGGAAAGAGTCCAGCGGAGGGCAACAAAAATGATTAGAGGGCTGGAGCACATGACTTATGAGGAGAGACTGAGGGAACTGGGATTGTTTAGTCTGCAGAAGAGACGAATGAGGGGGGATCCGATAGCTGCTTTCAACTACTGAAAGGGGGTTCCAAAGAGGATGGATCTAGACCAGTGGTTCCCAAACTGGGGTTCATGAACCGTTACAGGGGGTTCTCAGGAAAAAATTCCCTAATGGCGGACAGAGCTGTCCCTAGGGACAGTGGGCAGCACGGGGCCAGCAGCCCGGAGCCCTGGACTTCCAAGAGCTAAGCAGATCAAAGCAAACATCTCTATCACACTGAGAAGATATAAACTTCAAGACTTATAAGAAACGGAAAGGGAGATGGATACTTTTTGCTGTTTTTTAAATTAAATAGGCAGCTAGTATTGTTTTTAAAATTATGATGAAGAACAAGTTGAAGCTTTGTTGTAACGTGCGCTGTTTGCATGGATTGCTCAAGACCTGAATGCTTGTGTAGGAGGAACTCTTTGAGTTGGCTTCTTAAATACCTTCATGCTGTTTTACATCTGATACTCCTTGATGAAACATAGGAGCCTTGTCTTATAACAGGCTTATTCAAAGCGATACAAGCTACAAAAGTCAGATCTTGGAAGAGTGTTGCCATTTTAATAATGTAATAAAAATACTGTATTGCTAAATAATAATTAATAAGCATGTCATAAAAACAAATTTTATATTTCCAAGATCACTGCTTTTATAAGTTATACTCAGGTAAAGGAGAAAATCCCTGGAAATATTCATTTTTAGGAGTGGGTTCACAAGACTTGACATTTTAGTGAAAGGGATTCACAGATTGTTAAAGTTTGGGAACCACTGATCTAGACTGTTCTCAGTGGTGGCAGATGACAGAACAAGGAGTAATGGTCTCAAGTTGCAGTGGGGGAGGTCTAGGTTGGATATTAGGAAACACTATTTCACTAGGAGGGTGGTGAAGCACTGGAATGGGTTACCTAGGGAGGTGGTGGAATCTCCTTCCTTAGAGGTTTTTAAGGCCCGACCTGACAAAGCCCTGGCTGGGATGATTTAGTTGGGAATTGGTCCTGTTTTGAGCAGGGGGTTGGACTAGATGACCTCCTGAGCTCCCTTCCAACCCTGATATTCCGTGATTCTATGTAGGGGGAGTTAAGCATTTAGAGAGGCTGGGCCGGACCCCATCATGACAAGTGCTGCGGCCTGTGCTGGGAAGACAAGGGGGGGCTGGTCTGGGACCACGCGTCCCAGCGAGCGCGGGGGAGTTGCAGCCTTGGCGACTGTGGTGCTCCTCCCTCATTCAGCAGGGTGGGCGTGGCTCTTTCCTGCTCACTCCTAGCCCATCTCCTGCCCGTTTCCCTACAGCCCCCCTGCCTCGATAGGCTCCCCACCGAGACTGAGCAGGAGGCGCTGTTCACCCAGCGGAGCCTGAGCCGGAGACGCCATGAGACAGAAGCTGCCCATGCTGACACCATCTTGGAGCTGGAGAAAACCCGGGACATGCTGATCCTACAGCATCGCATCAACCGGGACTATCAGGTGGGGGAGGTGGGGGTGCAGGGGGTGACTGACCCCACCCGGGTGCTATGTCAGGCTGAGCTGTGGGATGAGCTGCTGTGTAACTGACCTCGTGTGCTGTCAGGCCGAGCTGAAAGGTGTGATGGTGCAGGCTGAACAGGAGAAGAGGGGACATGAGGAAAAGCAGCAGAAAATGGCGCAGCTCCTGGATCTGCGCAGCACCCGCATCCGCCAGCTGGAGGGTAAGAGCAGAGCCAGCCCCACCTGCCCCTGGAGCAAGTCTTGCCCCTGCCTCACTCATGACCACTGCTGGAAACAGAGCTGGGCAGGATGGGCCTTTGTCTGGACCTGTGCTTGCGTAGGGTTACCATATTTTAAGCCTCCAAAAGGAGGACACTCCACGGGGCCCCGCCCCTGCCCCCAACTCCGCCCCTTCCCCAAAGTCCCCGCCCCAACTCCGCCCCCTCCCCTGCTTCCCGTGACTATTTGATTCGCGGGAAGCCTGAAGCAGGTAAGGGGAGTGTGGGGGGAGGAGACGCGGCCCAGTCTGCCCCCCTCGCGTCTCCAGCCTGGGTCAGCCCGCCCAGCACTGCCGGTCCCCGGCCGAGCACCCCCGCCCAGCACTGCCGGCCCCCGGGCCCCCCGGCCGAGCACCCCCGGCCGGGC